ACTCGTTTATCATAAAGTGTGACGACAACGGTACATAGTACATTACTCTGTCCCATAATGCGGAGACCAAGAACCATAAAGACCCGAAAGATCCATGTAAAGAAAATTACAGGGGTTGCATCTTTGCTGAACCCAACAACCCCCAGTGTCCCGTTGCTAGTTCAAAAAAATACCTGAGCCTCTGCCCGCTGGACTCAGACGCTTTTTATCTCCATCCACTATGACAAAACCAGGATTTACTGAATGAAAGAACAGTGTGGTACTCTAGGGAGCCAATGGGCCATAACTACCTTGCCACGATGATGTCCACAATTAGCAAAGCAGCTGGACTCTCACACCGATACACGAAACACGGTTTGAGAAGCACGGCTGTGCAACTCCTCTCACGCACCGGGCTGGAAACTAGAGAGATTATAACTGTGACAGGACATAGATGTAAGGGTAGTCTAAAATAGCTACTGGACTCTGACCACCGCAGACAGAGAGAAATGGAGAAGGATACTCTCATCAAATACTGACAACAGCATTGCAGGCAGTAAGTGTCCACTTACAGATGCCTAATTGTATAGACTAACCTTAGCATGAAAGTCAGCTGCAAACATTGTTTATAATAATTATAATAATTGTGTTTTAGGTGCAACCAAATAAAAGTCCACAGAAGCAGATGCTTTAGCAGATTAAACTAAAAACATCAACTTCAACATCCCCACCGGCGTCACATTCACAATGAGTCAGTTCACAATAAATGTAAATGTGCAGTTCAATACTTACAAATAAAGTATAAATATGTTAATTATGCTAATTAATAACGCACAAGAGATTATCTTTTACAAATTATTAAATCACACTGCATGTTTGCCTTTTTTGAACATCGTGTCTGGCTTAAGCTGCTTTGAAGAGCTGTTTTTCTTTCCTGAAAAGTTTGAATTTGTTACAAATTAGCTAATAAAATCGTTGACATCAATATTTTGTGTCCAACTGTTTATTGTAATTAGTGATACGACTGTACATTATGCATTAAATTAAATGTCAGTCTTGTCTGAACTAAAAAGGCTCAAAGCCATTAGTTGAACTGTTTTTCTTTGCGGAAGCTTTGCGGAAGAGCTAATAAAATATTTCAACCAAGTCAATATTTTGTCTAATTATTTACTTGTGGCAAGTAGCCATGTAATAAGCGTGATAATGTACATCCAGGCAGTTGCATCACTCTGAAGGGGTTTACATTATCCCTTACTTAATGCACGGGTAGTTCCAAGTCAGTTTAATCACCGTTCTATATGAATGCTCTGCTTTAATTGATGCACATCTTCATTGTTCGTAGAGAGAGACGCACAGACGCAGGTAAATTACACACACAACTGTCCTCTCTCTTGATCAATAATTAATTCAAATAAATGGTATAATTCATTCAAATAAATGTTGTCTTACCGCACTATTTAATCTCTGTATCTGATTTAAAGTGGGCAGAATGCTAGAGCTAAAGAACCGTAACTGACGAAAATAACCATAATTTTTACCCTTCCGGTTAAATATTGCACTGCAAACATCATAAACAGCTTTAAGTTGTCAATGCTGGCAAATGGCCATGGTATAAGCGGTATAATGCATGGCTAGCTGTGCATTAAATTATTTTAATGCACGACGTGGAGGCCAAGAACCACCTAACGTGAAGCGGAGCAGTGCATTATCCCTTACATAAATAAGTGACTGAATGAAGAATAAATTTATGGTTGTTCTCTAGAAGCAACACACAACTGGCTACAAAGAATCTATAGATGCTTACAGCACTCAGTTTCTCCAGCAGTACACTAACTGAACTGAGAATAGTCTCTTTCTGTAGCGGCGGACCTTGGGTATGATGGTCGAAACTTTACTGATGATTTCATGAATGTATATACTGTATATCTCACATTTATAGATGTGTCTATAGGATATGGATTCTAAAAATCACCATAAGAGCTGAACAAAACAACAAAGCATTAATGTACATTAAACGCTTCTATAAACCATACACCTGTCTGTATTATTTATATATTATATTAGCATTGAAATTTATATTTTTGCAAAAAAAAAAAAAATAATAATAATACACTAAAAATGCACTAAGCAAATTTTGCCAAACGATGTTGATTTTTGAAACCTCCAAAACAAACACGCCCATACCCCAACAGGACCTCGCCCCTATTTTGATAACTTCTTCCCACACAACCCTGGCATTCTATGGCGGAATCTGCTATGCCTGCCGGCCGAGGGTGTCATCATTAAGTGAAAGCGATGTTTATTACTATGGTAATTCAGGTCGAATGTGTTTGGTAGTGATGGTGAAGCGTTCTGAACCAGTGAAGCTTTCAACACAGTAGTATCGGAAAAAAAGTTAATCACTCGAAGCTTTACAACACGCTTTATGTTGTGACCATCTAGTAGTCATAAAAAATTAATAACACCTCCCAGGTAGCCAGCGGAATCGGGCCGAAGTATCGGCTCACTCGGCTGTGTGCTGGCAGCGGCTCGTCAGAAGTGAGCCAGCTCTGGCCCAGTAATGGTTGCCAGATTTGGCTAGGCTTTGGATCTGCAGATCTGGCCCGATTCTGTTTGAGAAACGGCACATTTAGCCACATTCTGCCCGACTATAGGCCATAAGTGTCAGTCCCACAAATGTAAAAAAAAAATCAGTTTTTACTCCTTGTGTGAATATTTGGTCCCCACAATATAGGGGTTAAACATGTACACACACAATCAATTAATTAGGCTGAATTCCAAAATTCCAAGATTATTTTTTAAAACAAAATGCTTTAGTGTTGTCAAGCTTTCTCCCTGTTAATGTTATAATTTTTTTTCTTAATTTGCCAGGGAAATATAACGTGAGGTATAACGTGACTTAAATGTACATCTCAAATGATAAAAAAATAAATGAGTAAAATGGATATAAATATAACTTTGACTATTTTACACCTCACGTGCGAAGCCCGCGAAAGAACCAGAGGTTATATAAGCTGCGGTCCATCAAATCACGCGCACAGCCGGACTCCCTTTTGACTGAGCTGATATCACTTGGGAGAGCTTCTCTGAGGTAAAGTATTTTTTGTGTACTGTACATAAGTATAAAATTTATGGACTGTCATTTAAATGTACCACATCTAAAGCCTACTGTTCACATAAACGAGTCTTTCCGTCTTTATTTTCTACGGCCCGCTCTTCAGCGCCGTTAATTACCGTTAATGCCGTTAATCTGTATGACGTGATTTGCGACAATGGCGCAGATCTGCTAGAAATTAGAATTGAGAAAACCTCCTTTCGTTTCACATTTATGTCGGTAAAGGTAACGTCAGTCAAAAAATATATTCATTTTACAATTTTCATTGATAATATTTTCACACTTAAGCAGAATGAAGATTCTTTATTGACACTGATGGATGAACAGCTGTGTCTCATTTAGAAGGCTGCGCCCTCCTGAGGTCGCATCCTCTCTAGGATGCGTACATGGAGTGTCCTCAACCCTAGGATTAAACGAGACGGCCTTCGTAGGACGGGCGGAAAAGGAAACAGGAAGTATCACGTTGCTATGCCAACACACCCTCTACTTAAGGAAAAATTAATTAGGAAAATTATTTCTAAATTTGGAAAGTAATTTGAAAAGAAAATGTTTTTACTTGTTTTATTTTATTCAATGTTTGAGGAGCTACAGCGTACCTACAACAGACATCTGTTAGAGAAAAAAAGGAGGAGGATATCAAGAACAAAGTTTATCCGTTTTTTTTACCGGCGGAGATTTGAGGTAAGTTGTAGCATAGTTCCTTTAATATAATATAATTTAATATAAGTCCATATATATAAAGCCTTTGGTTGTAGGGCATTGAGGCAATAATTATAGAACTACATTTATCTTACTACACATATTACTTTATACATTATATACAATGTTATTATTATTGTGATCCCACTGTTTTTAAAAGTGCTACGAATTACATAATTTATCATAATTTAACCCAGTGTTCACAATTTTAAGATAATTTTAGGAAAGCTATTAAGCAAAAAACAAACAAAAGGAAATACTGTACTAAAGTTGTGTCTATTAAACTACATATTAAATATACATGAATGAAATTTAATGCTGTAAAACTAGATTATAAATACATTAAACACAATACTGAACATTAAAATAATGTAATGCTGTAGATCTGTTATATATACATGATTACGAATTCTAAAAGTGACGTATGTTTAACTGTCAACTTGAGCTTTAAATCCGTAGCGGAAGGAAGTAGTTCCGCACAAAAGAGGGTTTTATTAGGCACTCCGTTGTTTCTTGTTTAATTACACACATGTTCCGTCGAACTGTTGTATAAACGCAATATCACTCTCGTACTCGAGCGATACCGGCTCTGTATCAGCATGGCTGTGATTAGGCCAGAGGCACGAGGCCGAGTGCCGGAGGCAATCACAGCCGCTGATATAGAGCCGGTATCGCTCGAGTACGAGAGTGATATTGCTCATTTAAACACAATATTGAACATCAAGAATGAACTGAAACACTGTATTATATATACATGATTATATATCAAGTATTGCAGGCTCAATCCCCATGTCCCTGTTCTTGAGAAGTTTTTTGATGGAGGGGATACAAAAGCAGCCTTTCGTCTGACGAGAGAGAGCCTCAATAAACTTTTGGAGCTGCTTCATCAGCAACGGAGACATGGCTGGGGTACAACACTCCAGACCTTGGTGTTTTTGTATTGGTTGGCCTGTGGTGCATCTTACAGGGTTGTGTCGCAGGCTTTTGGGATGCCACGGCCAACCATTCACAGAATTATACATCGAGTGGCTGATGAAGTCATGGCAATTTTTCCAAAGGTTGTGGCCCTACCAAAGTCAGAACAACACCTGCTCCAGGTTGGTGCAGGCTTTGCTTCTCTCACCAATCACCAGGCATTTGGTAAAGCTGTTGGAGCAATTGATGGATGCCATGTGAGAATAAAACCACCAGCTGGCCCTGATGTTATAAAAACAGAAAGCCGTTTGCCTCCATCCTGCTTCAAGGGATATGCGACCATCAAGGGGCATTTTTAGACATTTTTGTAGGGTACCCCGGGAGTGTCCACAACTCACGGGTGCTTAAGAACAGCCCCATTTACAAACAGGCAAAGTATCCACCTCAGGGCTTTTTCCTCCTCGGCGATGGTGGGTACCCCTGCACAGAGAAGCCAATCGCAATCATGACACCATTTAAGAATCCAGCTTCATCAGCTACTCAGCGCTTCAATGCACATCTTTCCAAAGGCCGCTCAATTATCGAGCGTGCTTTTGGAATGATGAAGACGCGATTTAGAGCCATCTTCCTTCAGGCACTTGAAGTGCATCCAACATTTGCACCAAAGGTTGCATTATTTTTCTCTATATTTGATCTTTACTTAACACAACTTCAATGTCAGATAAAAGAATTTACAATTTAGGGTGACAAAATGTTTTCGTATTTGTGTGTATACAGGTAATAGCTGCATACACCATGCTACACAACATCTGCCTTGGTGTTGGCGACATTATACCACCAGACGACAGCCAAGAAGAAGAGGAAGATGATGTGGAGGCATGCAATCTGCCTTACGTCAACCAGGACCACGACTACATAAATCATCCTAATTAAAAAAGTAAGTTGAACACACTAAATACAATTTAATTTAATTTGGCTACAAATACTGATTTTAAAATGAAATGTATAATTACCTATACTTAAGTTTAATATAGTTTATACAGCATTATAAACGGATAACTGATTACCTTTTCATGGAATTTTAAAATCCTTAACTCAGAATATATTTTTTTTCTTCTTTTTTTGTTCTTAGGCTTACTAGGAAGTCAGCATGAGAGCTCACACAACACATGACATCTTTTTCACGATTTATCTTTTATTTTTGTTAATGTGTAACCAAATATATTTATTCATTAATGATTGTGTTTAGAATTAGAATTAGAATTAGAAAGAGCTTTATTGCCAAGTATGTTTGCACATACAAGGAATTTGTTATAGTGTCACAAGCTTCCAGTTGAAACTCCTGCAGCGAATAAAACGGCTTAGTTAATGAAAAGCGCTTCTAGATCGGAAGAGCACATCTTTAACGCTGTAACATCTGTACACCACCTTTCGTTGATGTAAAAACATGTCCCGCCGCCGCGCGAT